ACATTCGATCGGAACAACGTGAGAGCTCCCATTACTGGATACCAAACACTCTACGGAGTCCCCCTCGGCCCAGTCAAGACGTGGATTCTGTAGTCTGTCGTATAGTGTGAGGTGAAAGGAGGCTTCCCTCGCGACAGTTGCTTCAACAGACCCGTCTCCAGACACGACACTCAGTGGCCCGTAGCCACTCGAGGGTCCGACCACCACCTCCATTGGCGAGCCACTGATGTCGTCTCCGTCCAAGGTGACTACCAGAATGCTCGAGAATGATGTGACCTTCGCTGAACTCAGGAAATCTGAGTCATCAGGCTGCAATGCACGCATCTTTGAGCTGCTCAGGTAAGGTCGCACTGTTGCTCTATAAGCTCCCGATACACTTGGATGGACTGTCCAGCTGATCGTAGCGTCTGGGTCGCCACTTATATAAGCATCGAGACGATCAGTTAGATTTTCCCTCCAAGAGGTGGTGAGAGCATACCCCCACGCATCTCGTGGGATGAGAGTGAAGTTGTTCTCGGTCGAAGCAAGTAACAGTCCTAGATCCGCAACTGTCGACTGATTGGCCACTGGAGGGCCGGCATCAATGATAACCGTTAGAGGACTTGGTCCATGATGAACCGTGCCGTTGATATACCGCACAGGCAGCCCATGATGCAACTCCGATGCATTGATCTAGCAAAGGTGAGTGCAACCCAAAGGGCGGCTCGATCGACGTGACTCCATAACCCCACCTCCCTCCAGTCGGCCACTACCGTGGCGTTATTGGAGTGATAACGGTGAAGGAATTGAAGCTTAGCATGTCCCTCGAAATGGATGTATGTCAAGACGCATGGGAACGGCCGGTAGACGTTGTGCACCAGTGGATTCATCGTTGCGTTGCAACTGGTCAGCGAGCCACACTGTGTCCCTGCAATTCAGAGCCATAGAGTTCTAGATCATGTTCTCTATGATCTCACCATTCAATTGGAGAGTAACTTCAGCGCCTACGTTCGTATGAACTGCGAACTCATGCGTGCCGCCTATCAATGGTTCTATTGGTTGAGGTAATAACCAGAAGTGCCAAACAATGCTCCATCTGAGTGCCGCCAACAATGCCTCTACCTGGAAGACTTAGAAAAGTTTTCAAGGAGATTCACCTGGAAATTGGCGCGCCGGGATGGACAAGTGACATCACGGGTAGGTCCAAGCTAACACTCTCGTCAATTCTGGTGTACCTGATTTGCATCTCGAAGTGTTTGTACGAGCTGGCGAGAGATAGGCTCCTCCCAGCCGCGGTTACATCAGTTCCTCATCAAGGTTATAAGCCGATTGGAAGGCATCTATCATCGCACTGTCACCACCTCCGGGAGTAGAATAAACAGTCACTAGTGAGCCCCCAGGGACTACTTGTGTGACCTGAAGAACATGATAAACTAGACCATCGCTATACATCACGAGAATTCATTATTAGTATGGTACTATATCACCAAAGTAATAGAGATATGGGCAGGAGTATTCAGAATACATTAGCTGGGTTACAATGGCAGGGGTAGGTATGAGTATACGTTATCATATTTGGAACCGGTGTACGTAACCAACCACATGTATACCAGAGGCGAGGATCGAACTCGCGATCTTCTGCGTGTAAGGCAGACGTCATAACCACTAGACTACCCCGGCAATATGGAAACTTCTAACCTTGCTGGGCAAGCCAAAGAAAAAGCATAATTACTCACCACAACTTCCCATAAGCCTGCCCTTTGCGGACGGAGTGTTTCATTAGTGACAGCAGACGTGTTATCCCGTCTGTTGGTGTACCTGACGAAGGCCAGACGAAACGTGGAGCTCTTATGGTCGCAATTTCAAGCATACACGCCAGCCGATGTGTTATACTGGAGCCATGATGATATTCGACTGGAGCCACCCGCGTCAGTTAACCGTGAAGGGCCTGAGATACCCGACAGTGCGAAGCGGATGAAATCGAATATCAAACCCGGTGAGATCATAGTGAGGCATCTTACCATCCATCGTAACTAAATAATGCTGACCATTCGCCGCAGGATGGGACACTAAGTGGCCATAGGCATCCCGAGGAGTGCAAGTGACAATGAAGTCCTCGCCTGCTCGAGGTGGGAGGATCTGTTAGACCTCATGTGATGGTGACAATGATCCCTCCAATCGATCCCACTGTGTTGGCTGGGACTTCACAATCCGATCCCAATGGCGAGGGTGTTGATGGGTGAAAGGTTAGCAGATCGTCCGGTGCGCCCACCACCTACATACGATCATCGGCGTTTAGGGTGTCTAATGCGGGTGTGGCTGATTTCGATTCACGGTGAACTTCTCATACCGAACGCATGGATGTTTTAAATGGCCCACCAAAGGATGCCCAAAGAAGAGCTCACTTCCTCGCACACGTCTGAGTCGACCGGAAGACTCTCCTCGCTTTGCGTTCTACAACCGATCCCCACGAACACTCGAAGTCTATCGATCTCCCGAGCTGAAGAGAAGCCGAATCACATAATCTTCAAAGAAAAGTAGCTGTCACAATAAGAGCTCGTCCGTTCACTAACGAGATTATCAGAAGAGCATGGCTACCTGCAACTGGGTACTCTACCATAACGGTCACACTGCCATTGCTATTGACGACTTCATCTTCCATCCAAACACTTCCGATACGAGCTCTCACCTGGACATGGGCAATGCTCAGCGAAGCGAAGCTATCAAAAGTTACCTTAACACGTGAGGAGAAAGGTATGCTTTCTGATATATACTCTTCGCGATCAACAACAACATTGCCGGCTGAGTCACGAAGTGTCACGAGCGCTTCATATGGCCCTCCGCCCGCCACCTGACCAATGAGATGCAACGGCCATTCCGGCGTAGAACTCAGGGAACTCACTAAATTGCTTTGGTACGTAAGGCAATAGAAACACTCTACCGTAGAGTGGAAGCCTCGAGGTATTGAAGGACGAACTGTGATCAAGTGGGGACCTGAAGATGATTAAACTGAGCGAAGCGTCGATCAATCAAGCGTAACTTACCTTGGACTAGTTCTTGTCGACAATCGCACACACCTGGCCGTCCCTGATCGGTATTGCAAGGCTCTGGCCCGTAGCATTGACTTCCGATGGGTGCATCGCCCATCACAACACTAGCCGGCAAACCATCGACATCTACACTGAGTTCTTCTGACGTACCAGCTACCGTTGGGATAATACTGCATAAGAACTGTCCATCACCAACGTAGGAACATGCTTTATCAGAGACCCCAACTGGTGTCCTGATCCGGATGGTCACAGATTGTCCCGTATCAACAGACAGGATGTTGCCATATCGATCTCGGAGTAGCACAGTGAGGGTGATGTTGGTCACATTGGCCAATATAGGGCTCGTCCGAAGATGGTGGAGATCCGCATGCCGGATGATGCTCAAAGGACCGTAAGCCTCTGTCTCTGGTAGACCCCACGCATACCAGCCATAGTTCTCACGCGCCTCAATGGTGTCTAGCACTCCAGAGCGAGCAATATCCGGACTAGAAACCATAGGGCCTCGGATACGCGTCTCATTGATTGATACCATCCAAACACTCGGCCCGGCTCTGTACGATGTGAAGGCCAGACGAATCAAGCTCAAGTTAGAGTCGACTGACTCCACCACAGGCTGAATTGACACTGGAAACATATTGGATAAATAAAGGAAGTCCTCGAGAAACTCAAAATCGCCACAACTGGTACGCCAATCACTCCACGTAAAGTTGTCACAGAAAGTGGTATTAGCCGGTGGGCTTGGCAGTTGTGGGTGTAGATTCAAACGGTCGTGAGGAGACAGCCAGGTAAGGACCGCTTCAAGGTGACGTGTGGGGTCCAGGCTCTCGACTGAAGCAGGGTTTCCTACAGCATCGCGAAGGATCAAGTCGATATAGGACCGTATACCAACTTGGAACTGTGTAGTTGCCGTCCCGTTGGCAACGACTTGGAATGCCGATACCGTTCCTCTCTGGATGTCTATAGCGAAGGGAGAGCCTTCAACATGGAGACCGTTCACCGTGATACTCAAGTTGTGTTGGCCACATCCTATCAATACCACATCGACCACGTAAACACCGTTTCCTCCACTGCCCATGGTAACCATCGGCTCACCCATAACGCCTAGAGGTTGGGTCTGGCAATAACTGTCGGGGTTCGTTGGTGTGAGTGAGGCCAGGACCACAGTGTCGGAGTAGAAGGTGTCGCAGTCGTTACCAATCACATCACGGGTCTGCACATACAGTGTAGGTTTTTTAGATGCAATCGGACGGGTCAGCTCGTTGCCATCAGCTTTGACGACGCTTTTAGGGCCATAAGGCGTACCAGGACCAACCACAATAGGGAACGGTGCATCCTCGAGATATGCACCACGGTGAAGATACCTACCATTGAGGGTGGCCTATAGGGAGTAGAACGAATAATCACTTGCTGCTAACAACCTCCTTCCCCTGCCATACACTGCTACTCCAGAGCAACCTAATAGAAGCCGAGTCCGTACGCTCTCGATAATCGACTCGGATCGGATAGAGCTCGCCAGTTCTTAGAGCGATGCTGTTCGGCTGGCCATTCAAATAGGACACGTCAATTTTCTCGGACAATGCCTGCCGCAAGAGTGGATGGTGAAAGCCTTGAGGGTCCATGGACTCTCACGGTTTTATCGACGATAACCTCCTTGCCGTCCTCGAACCATCGCTCCGCTATAAGGATGCCGTCGAGCCAAATACGGCAGTTGTCATTAGCATCAGCAATCTCACAGTAAAAGGTGTACGTATCGTTGTAAGCCGCCTCAATGAAACCAGTCCACCTTAGAGGGAAACCTGCAAGATGAAAAGAGTCGAGTACGGCCCACCTCACGGACACGAAGTCGGGAGACCAACGCGTCACTGAGCCTGCTTCCCAGTTGAAGTCGATAACAGGATCTACTCTCGATTCTATGGGCGAACCCAAGTAGATAGAGTTATCCCAGTAGTTCCCAAACAGACCATACTGCCATAGGGCTTGCAAGATGAGGGAATAATTTCCAGGACGGTAACCTGAAAGACGAAGCAATCCGATGACCATCCAACATAGTAATAGACCCACCAGTAACCGTTACGTCATACTGTCCATTGCCCAAGTCGGTGGCTCGTATAGGCCGCCACCACGAGGGTGTTTCCGTAGTATCATAGCGTGGTAACGTCCACCTAGCAATGGACAATCTGAGGATTGATGCATTTGAATCTCCACTGCACCTTGGATTGGCCTCAGAAACAGGCTCGCATAACGCCTTGGCTACATCCACTTCACAGACGGGCTCGAGATACGCGACGAACATACGACCTGAGAAGGGACCCAGGGTAGCCCCATAAGAAGGAGGAGGAGAAACCCACCTGATAGACAGGTGGAATCTTCACTAATCAGGCAGTTACCACCAAGGTACTCCAGTGCCCCTGTTATCGGGTGGACACCCTGTTAAAAAAGCTTTTGACAGAAACATGTGGGTAACTCACTTGTATGCGAAGTTGATGATCGGCGATTCCAGCACTGAGTTGTAGGGGGAAGGTGTATGAGCTCCCAGTGAGGTAGCTCGGATCGCCTCCGATCTCGCTCTGGACAGTATAGAACGCCTCCAGCTGTCTAGATGTTCCAACTGTATTGCTCGCATAGAGACGGAAGCTGTAGGTGACGTAGGGCCTACCATACAAAATGGTGCTGAGGTGTTCATCGTGGAGTAGGAGGTAGTAAACACAACTACACCAATACTGCACATAACACTTCTGGGCCAGCGTTCGAGACTGTACAAAGAAAGTCTCGCGAGAAAGGAGGCAGAACGAAGGTAATATCGTGTTCCATGACGAAGCCCGCCCCCCTAGTGTAGGGTAATATGCACATGATATCAACTACATGTGTTGGTGAGAATATGAAAATTCTGAGGAAATTTTTGGGAGATTCTTATTGGTTTCTGTACGCTTCTTGCCGAATTCGTATGTAAACTTCTGAATTAGGAACTCCTGAACTCAGCTGAGAAAAGCGAACATATACTCCAACACTGACTTTAGCTCGGTGACTAAATACTCTCTCACAGTAGGGTACCCCGTCCCATCATAGAGCAAGCCGTAGTCGCCAATGACGCCTTCCTTCATGAACCTTTTGGAATAATGCAATCACCGAGCTGAGCATTGTCTATACAGTCTGTATGTGTGTATCGGGTTGCCACCATCATCTGGCTGGTCCCAGCTCAGCAACACTGAATCAATGCCCATACGGGTTCGATTCACTTCCATGGTGCCCCATAGCGGCACCGACGATGCAAAGAAGCTCACTTCATAGCTATCCGGGCTGTATCTGCTCAGGCCCCTTATACGTCTACCGACCGCACTGAGGCTTACAATGGGGTAAATCCATCATCGTCCAACCCTATCGCGCGAGCCCGCATCAAACACAGCGCGTTGATCGGGAGGCCTCCCACTGTGTATTCGATATTCGACTGGCCCGTATACCTAGATCGGACCACTCAGGACGGCAAGGGAGGCAATGAGTGTAGAAAGCCTTACACGGTTCGGAAGATGGCACCACCGTCACAATCATTGGAGAGGACTTCAACTTGGACAGCGTATGTCGGCAATGGTGGTGTTATTATCGTTATCTTACCTAGTGACAATAGTCAAGCCGCGATGGACTCTCACGAGCCCGGCCAAGCCCATGACGAACTATAGGCAATACGAAGTCCCTGTAATTCTTTCATTGCAAAGTGTGGTAGTCCGCCCCCATCTGACCAGGAGAGGAGACCACGAGCCGTGGGGGCTCAGGAGCAGCTGGCCATATGGCGCCCATCACTGTAGATAAGCCAACGACGGTAAAATATATTCGCATGCCTGGTCTTAAAAATGATGAAAATACTGCCTAGTTGATCGGTGCACTGAGCCGGCTGGTGAGAGTCCTCAACGCCAACTATGTCACTGATGCCTCTTAGGACGTCTAATCGATCCGTTCCATCTGATCTGAGCATACTCATTACGCAAATGCCTGCCACACTCAATAGAATACGGTATTGAGCATTTACATGCATGCATGATGAATAAGCTGTCACATGTAGTCGATCAGGATGCCGTTGGCAGGTCAACACAAGCTTCTGTGACTCCGACCTCTGCGCTGATGTCTCCAGGTGCTCTGGTCCGATCCGAGGAGCCTTCAGTGTGTGTCCTTTCGAATTCACCGACAAGTTCTTCTTCACTCACACGACCACCCGTATCGTAGATTCGTCTCTGAGTCGATGGTCCAATCGAGACGGGTCAGGTGAAGGGTCACCTCCCAGGACCAGGGACTCGGCAATTCATTGGGCATGCCAACTCGGAATACTTTCAGCTCGTCTGTGGCATAAAGGTAAACTTCTCTGAGGAAACGCATGAACCTGAACAACGAGTTACTCAGCAGACGATTGTACTAGACGGCTGAGGGCATGATTCGTAGGAACATTTTCCTCTGTCAACTATTGTAATCTTTGAGAATCCCAATTATTCGAGGCGCGAATCTCAACTTGAACTTTGTTTGCACCAGGCGTGGCAGCAGATTGGTCTCACCCCAAGCCATGGTTCATATGTTTCAAGTGCGCAATCTCATGGAAGAGTATTGCCATTAAGGTTGAGTCAGAGAGCATACGGTCTCCAAGCTCCGGATTGCTCATCGATCGGATACGGACTCTAATATGATTCAAGTATCTGCCAGGAGCACCGCGTCTATGGCGCGGTAAGAAACCCCCACCTTGGCGTGGCCTCGACCTTCTCAACATCGATAGGAACATTACTTCCAGGTGCTTCGCTTCGCCTTTTTCGTATGGTACTCTAACAGCATTCGCAGTCTATATAGAAGGCCTCAGTTAGAGCTTCTCGCCTTGCCACGTTCATCGACTTCCTCTTGTTGTTTTGGCTTCTTAGATACTTCTCGAATGGTGACCCCAGCCTTCTTGGCGTCTGGCGGCTGCTCCGACAGATGTGAGTAACTGTCCACTTGATGCGACTTATTCGATTTCACTCGACGTTCTTATCGAACAGTATGAGTGTTGTGTACTCGGCGAGGTAGCGAGGGTTTTATATGCCAACTCTCGCTACCAATTCGACCAAAGAGACATTGTCGCTGCTCGGCTCCGTCAGAGTATCTTACCGTAGATTGAAACGTTTTGCTATAGGTGATGCCACGAAAGTGTTCAGGTAGTGGAGCTTGAGAACGACGCTGTGCCTAAGCACGCACTCCTCTCAAAGCTATTTCAACAGTTCTTGCCGTCACAATGCACCTCCAACTACGGCGAACTCTCTTTGATATCAAGTCACAATAGGGTAGCAAAACGTTCGCAAGCCGGAACGATTATATCAGCACATATCGAACCCGTATCAATGAAATCACGGTCCTGACCTGTTCTGTAGAGGAACCTTCTGCCCATCTGCTGTTTTCGTGAACGCGAAAGTGAAATAGAGGTGTGACAAGGCGGCCGCCTTCGCTATAGCCACCTAAGGCCACCGATTTCCCAGGCGACCTCATACAGGGGCGAGAGAGTTGCTGAGCCCCACCTCCTCTTCGGCCAGTCGCTTCCGCCTCTCGATAGCTTCAGCAGAGATGCGTGCCGCGACAGGTATAGGGGGTAGAGACAAAGTCCTCCGTCCTTTTACTGGTGATAATATAGTAATAGGCTCTGCACTGGACTTCCTTGCCCCGACTTGATCACTCTGTAGACTATGCCGTGCTATTGCCCGAGCATCGACTACTTGAGGGTCCTACCGAGTAGAGTTTACGATATTTCAAATCAACCTAATTACACTGACAGGGGATCGACCACGGTGGTCTCCACCACCCGAGAACTTTGGCACCGGCGGCTTCGGAACGAAATGAGAGTCTTCACTAACATCATCGCGATGCCGTGATTTGGTGACAGTGCCACGACGAAGAGGTAACTCTGGGCGTCTTCGTGGCAGTGGAGACAACTCCAGCGGCCCACAGAGACCAATTGTTTTCCTCCTTCGGCTGCCCCCAATCGGCTGTGACATCGAACGGGACTTCGTACCAGTATCTTCTTGCATTCTCGTCTGGTCGCTCAAGCTCGTAGCAGTAGACGCAACCTTCAACGGAGGCAACTGAAACACTCTGATGTAACGTGGTTCTCACGTAGTTATCTCAATACCAGCACAACAGGCTTCTGCGGAACTTCTCTCTTCTGGAAGACCACGGGTTTAGCAGCTACAAACAAGTCGGGGAGAACAACCGACATCAACTCATGCCGGGTCGGAACAAGAAGACTAAAGTTCCAAGACTTATCGCAAGAAGCAGATTACGAATAGAGAAGAGAAGTTGTTTTTGACGAAGCCCAGAATCTGAGGCATTTCCCAGTAGAAGGAAGGTGAATATCGTCGTACTGTATTCGTGCTACTCTGTGACTCCAACGCGAGACGACGACCATCAGCAATCATGAAAGAGCCTCGGACCATCATTGCTCTTATTTCACAGACTTCACCACCAAACCAGTGCCAGTGGTATTCCGAGACGAGTTCGAAGCACACCGCGTTTTGGCCAGTGTTCGATAATCCGACGGGAATCTCATGAGTTGATATGCTCAGATCATATCATCCCAACCTATGCATCCATGATGACGGTCAGGACATAGTGTGTGTGACACATCAATAAGTGCAGAGGAGCCAAAAGTCCTCACCTTGGTGGTTTCAAAGTGGTAAGGAAGCCTCACTACTGTGGCATAAACGACTCAAAGCAAAATTAGAAATTCGGGGATTCATTTTCCACTCCAATCTGTTATTCTCATCTGAGATCGGGAAAGTCACCTCTTTTGGAACTTGAAATCGAAAGCTGAGGCTCCCCGATTGGCCCCTTTAGTCATAGAGATGATGCATGAATCATTCGTATATTGTCAAGCCATTATCACTGACATTAGTTCACTGTATGACCAACACAAACCATCCACATGAAAATTTACCAAGTCAAATAGCCTTTGTAATAATTTTTATGTCTACCTCTTGAAATTGAATAACGATATTGATCGAATGAAAAGGATAAACCATCGTAACTCTCAATTAGTGTTTGAAAAAATACTCACTGCGTATCTTGAGTAATCGGTTAGTAGGTAATTGTGGAAGATCCGCAATAGAGAGTCCGAATGGGACTGTCCGATCATGAGTTCTCAAAAGGACCATTGACACATGGTTCCCTAAATCAAATAATCTTCGTGATAACTCTTATCTCTAACTCTTGAAATTGGATAACCATACTGATCGAATGAAAAGAATAAACCATCGTAACTCTCAATTAGCGTTCAAAAAGATAGTCACTGCGTATCTTGAGTAATCGGTTAAAAGAGAATTATGGAAGATCCGCAATAGAGAGTCCGAGTCGGACTGTTCGATCATGAGTTCTCAAAAGGACCATGAACACATGGTTCCCTTTGCCGGTCCCATACGGTATCTGAAACAAACGGAGCCGTCCTCCTTTGCGCAAATCTGAAGGGGACAAGCTACGTATCCAGAGAAATCAGACTAGAACTTACATCGTCGTAGCCTGAACAGTCAAGAAGGCAGCGACCCAAGACGCACTTGATATGGACACTGGCACTCTTAGGAGCCGGAGGACAATCCGAGGCTTGTGCGCATGGCTTAGCGCAGATCGCGTAGCAAGTACTATAACCGCCCTACATGAGAAGTTTTATGCGCGCAATCAACTGAGCAGCCTACGGTAAGGGCGAATAGGTCCTGCTTGTTCGGGCACTCACAGCTCCCGACAAATTTTTCTCCGGAGCAAGTGCAACCTGTGGGTTTGCCGTAGTATGGCAGATTTGTGTTCCCTACTAGTCCATCCATATCTGACATGAGTATATAGTAATAACTACAGGATCGCAAATTAACCATTTGAAATGATTCCCTCACTAATATCCTGGCCCTTGCCCATGCTCTCGTTATAAAACCTAATCGAACAATCACTTCGAGTTCAATCAAGAAGCCGTAGCTCTTCTTACTGTTCAGGGATTTCCACGCTGCCCAAGGCAATGAACGAAGAGATCAGGAGAGTGAAGGAGAACATGACGTATATCACGCAAATACGCTATAGCAACGACTCACTGACTATTTGCTCCCATTTTATGCTAAGGCGCTAACTCTAGGAAGACTCCATCAACGATCTGTGGTACTGCACTTACATTTCAAATTGGAGCGGATAGCACCGAGAGTATCGTTGATGTTCGCTCCCGAGCCTCCTGTCGCTTCCTCGCTTCAACACGACCTGGTATCAGCTGGAGAGGTTAGACCCGAGCGCACAGTGAAACTTGGTGTAAGCCCTACACTATAGGGTATCTGCTCTGTCAAAAGCCTCACTGTATTGATCATGATGACATCATATGCGTACTCGAGGGGTGGGGGAGGGTTCGGATGTGCGCGTTCACAGAATTCGTGAATCGCAATTCACACAGAGGCGACCTGTTCACAGTATGAGCGGAAAATAAAGAAGCTAAATTCGAACGGGCGGTGGGGATTGGCTGGTTCTCCGTGTACAGTGTACTCGGGGAATTCTACGTCAACGACTAGGTCCTAGAGTGTGGTTGTGATTGAAGTTCTGTGACCTGAGATTGATTTCGAAAAGCTTGAATTCACGTGGTAATGTGTGCGTTCATGGCATGCCTATCCTAAAGTAGTTCCATGTGATAGCTCTAACTACTAGGACTCTCAGTATGGGAGTTTGGCCTTGTCTACACGCGATACTTGTAACTGGGAACTCGCAAAAGTACTTTTTGCTGCCCATGATTCATGGGCCATGAATATTCTACCTACAGCTCCCGCGTCTGACTGGCAAATGTTTGGCTGCGCACATCGTGAGCAGCCAACCTTCGGCCACAGCGCGACCGCTGCGCACAGCAGCCTGCTGTGCAGAGATGAGTGTAGCCAGAACGGACGTATCGGAAACGTCCCAATCCCCCGACTTACCTGTTTGTGGTATTCGCTCACCCTAGAGACTTGTTGTATGCTACTCACTACAGGTTAGCACGTGCGTCCTAGATGTTCATGGCGTTCGTACGTTTTACAACACTGTAACGGTGATACTTCGTCGTTGTGGGTCACTAGGAAAGTGACTCCGGCAGCAGTGTTATTGTGTTGGGTAGAGCGGCTCTAATAGAGCCCCGATCCCACGTCACAGATTTAGATGTGGGGCAGCTACCTCTCCTGAGTGCGGCTGTGGAGCCGCTGTGGGGGATGTTCGCCGTTACCTTCAATCATGTCCGTATCTTACCACGGCTAGTGAGAAGGTCCCTGGCGGCTTTACATCTAATTTGTATCGGGTGGTGGCGGATTTGAAGCGGCGTAAGCCCTTCAATCGACTGTGTCTTGCTGTCATGCAGTGCTTCGACGCAAGTGCCCCCGGTCAACAATTGATAACTTTGTATGTCCTGTAAAAAAACGGGCAGTCCCCCTGCACACTAGCCGTCCAGGCTACCGAAGGAGTGAAGCAGCCGTCAAGGCTGCGGCCAAGAATAAAGAAGGCCTTCAAGACCTCTGGAATATCAACTCAACACGGATGATATCCGTATTATGTAGGAGGATAGGAAGAGAATAGTTTTGGATGTATTAGTAGAGAAATTACAGCTTAGCTTAGTAGTGGGACAGCTGAATAATGGGAGAAAGCAAATGGGACAGCCAATTGTGTTGAATACTGCACCTCCCCATTAGCAATTGGCATGAAGCTGGCGCCTTTGACAAGATGGACGTTTCTATGTACCATGTACTGCTCGTTTATAACGAGCATTACGACACATGAGTACGGGTTCCGGCCAGGAGATTAAACTTGAAACGGAAACTCATAAGCCGGGCCACCAATTCACAAGGTTGAGGGCCGCTCGAGTTCGGCCTCCGAACGACCTTCGAACGATCTCAATACCAGCACAACAGGCTTTTGCGGAACTTCTCTCTTCTGGAAGACCACGGGTTTAGCAGAAACAAACAAGTCGAGGAACACAACCGAGATCAACTCATGCCGGGTCGGAACAAAAGACTACATTCTCAAGACTTGGCACAAGAATGTGATTATGACATGAATCAAATTGAGAGGAGAAGTTATTTTAGTCGAACCCCAGAGTCTGAAGCATTTCCCAATGCAAGAAAAGTGAATATCGACGATATTCACTTTTCTTCACTTTTCTTCACCTCACACGACGTGTGCTGTGCTGTTCCCTGTCTGTGATCCCAGTGGCAGAGTTCGCCACATGACGACTATCAGCCATCATGAGATATAGGCGTCTCGAGAGCATCATCGCCCACACTCAAGAACTTCCTCAAACAAGTGTCAGTGGTATTCCGAGATGAGCTCCAGACACACACAGTGTTTTGGCCAATGTTCGATAGTTCGTGCAGATGATATGCTCAGATCGTTTCAACTTAACCCCATGACGATAACGACACAGTGTGTTACACCAACGAGTGCAGAGGAGCAGCCAAAAGTTATCACCTCGGCAACCCCAAAATGGCTTTTGAATCTCAGCCTGCCTCGCGAACGGAACGAATTGACAACTAGAAAACAAGATGGCAAAAAACTCTGGTAATCCGAACTGTAAGTGTGGTGATAAATATCATGATACGTTATCAACAGCAATCGCAATGCTTGGCAGTTTCGAATACCAATGCTGTGTACGTGTGAATAGGTCCTATTCAATAGGAGGTAAGCCCAAAAACACGTCAGTCAAAAGTGAGAAGAGCTCAGTTTTATTGTATTCTGATACTTGTGGCGACGTCTTGGGTTAGTTTGATTTAAACTCGTGTAGTCAAGTCTCCTACAATTCACGTGAGCTGTGTGGATAATGATCCGCAATTCGTGAAGAGGCTTGAATGCGCCCACCCAGAGAAACTCATCTCCAGACTCCAGGGCCTAGAACACGCATATGCCATATTGGTGACGATGATGCAGTATTATACCAATGATATATGATGAGGCCTTCGTCTGAGCAGATGTCTAGAAAAACAAGTCTCACTGTACGCTTGAGTAACTCCTCCAGCTAATGTCGGGTTACGTTGACCCAAGGGAACCATACGAGACGCCGAACATCAATTGTATCGGCACCGTTTTGGCATATAGGAAATATGCAGGGCATAGGAGGGGAAATCGCAGAAGCACAGGATATCAATGGAGCTGTTCCGTGGATACCAACATTGTTACACGTGCGAGGAAGCTAAAGGTAGCGGTAGATAACGCGCACGCGCTCGTGTCGTCGAATGCATTATCTGTTATCGGCTCTTCACCCTGTCCCTTTTGAATTATCTTCTTAGCAGCTATTAGAGCTGCTAAGAAGATAAGACCTCCAACCCGAACTCATACGGTATGAGTATCATACGAAGTATCTCATAGAATCTACCCCATGGTCGACGGACCGTCAACCATAGGTATAGGATAAGCACCGGTTATTCTTCCTCCACACATTCTCCAACTGAAAATCAATACTCCGGTCATGCTCCTTCGAAAACTGGATCCAAGAAACGGACATTGTAATGGAACCAGATACATTGTTCGGCAATTCATTGGTCATCCTGTGAAACTCACCCAAGTTACGGTTCTCGGTGGCCCTTACGCCGGACACATTCTGTTGGTACCGAGAGTATGTAACACCGACAGATACAGATCTGCGTTTCTCAATCAAACGTAGGCAATTCCCTCTACGCCCTTCGCATTGTTGTACTAGAAACAAAGGCCAATCTCTGAGAAGAGTAGGTATATATCTCCCTCAACCACCACTTTCTCATGGGCACTTGTATGCAGCAGCATCGAGGGTTGGCAATCCACAAAACTTGGAGTTCGCTGTGGACCAAAGTTTTTATAGTCAGACGTCCAATAGCAACACTGCTGTTGATGTCTTAACAACTAATGTCGTCTTTCCTGAAATTTAAAAATGAATTTCAATATGCTTATTTATTTATTATTTGCTGTCGCTACTGGTGTGTATCTCATTGTCCCTGAGGATTTCGTGGATGTTGACGTTTAACAAAAATCTCCACATAAGCAGTACCTGAGGATACAGTATCTCATTACATTCCAACATCTCTTGCAACATCACTCTTACATTACGTTCCTCAATCCACTTACCATGGCTCGCAAATACATACAATTCACTGCGTCATGCTTGCCAATAGTAAAATAGCTTTGCTAATCTATTAGTAGCGGTTCGATCTCACTGCGCTCTGCTTGGTTGAAGGCTGTTATCATATAGTGGATGTTTCCTCAGTTGTCAGGTAATATCTCTTTCGAACGCAAACTACAATCAAGACCACCACTGCAACCACTATGGGCTATCACCATATACGACTTTGCCATTGCATTACTATGTAATACTGTTGTAAAGAATAAAATAAAACAAAACAAAAATAAATGAAAAAATAGAGCGTTGAAAAAAGAGAAAATATATATGAATGAAGAAATAAACAAATTAAACTATAAAATAAAATGGAAAAAAATATTAATAAAGAAATAGCAAAATAGAGGAAGCAAACGACTACAGTACAACGAGCATTATCACAACCATATACAACAACGACTACCACGGCTACAAGCACTACCGACTACCAATATGTACAACAAGAATGATTTCCGACTTCACTATTCGAATATCATGTAAGAGTGGTGTACAGGAAAAGAGAAAAAGAAAAGAAAAAAGAAAAAAAGAAAAGAGAAAAAAAGAAGAAAAGAAGAAAAGAAAAAAAAGAAAAGAAGAAAAAAAGAAAAAAAGAAAAAAGAATGAATGAATAAAGAAGAAAAGCAAAAGAAAACATAAGCAAAAACAAAATATAACAAAATATAACAAAATGGACAATTGACAATTAAAAGAAATAAAAGAAAAATACACGAATAGCAAAAAGTACTTTACAATCTGATGAAGTACATTGGTATGATGGTACTAGCATTATTTACTTGTTCTCAATATTTCTTTCCTTGTTCTCATTGCATGGATGCGGTCCGACAAAGCCTACCATTGTGGCGAAGACCGAAACACCTTCCATAGCATGACGACTACTCCCATCGCAAAGACTATCAACAACAACAGTCCAACTACGCAAGGAAGCGATCTCTACCACAACGACAACCACTCATGAGGAGTACAAACAGGCAACACCACCACCAAGACCACCACCAACAACAACATCAACAATAACAACGACACTGACCACCACAAGAACAAACAAAGACAGAAAGTCGAAAATTACCACAACATCGACCGCAACCATAATTACTCCCAGCATCGCTCAAACAGCGAGCTCACCTGCTGCACTGCTATCACCATACCCACCTCAAGTGCAACAACCCTAATTACAACAAGCACGTCATCAAGCCTTATCATCGGAACAAACAAAACCCTAAAACATAATCAACACTACCACTTTAACAGCGAGCATTATTCATTATGACCTTACTTTCTGGCGGTGCTGCATGGGTTGTAGTGGTCGTACAGTCGTTGTTGTCGCTACTCCGATTTCGGTTGCATGACCATAATGACGGTGGTCATCATGATTAAAAACACGGTATTATACTAATACTAATAGCATTATACTATTACTCATTACATACCATCTCGAGTTCAGTCAGAATCTCAGTCTTACTTCCGAGTATGAAAATCACTCAACAGCGCTTTACTCTCTAAACATTTCATACACACAACACATATGTACAGTATACTCCTACTTAACCAAGACCTCCGACTACTGTTACTCCACGCTGTGAAGTCCTCCTCACTAAACTTCCGAAACCAAGCGATTGCCTTCCTACCAGAACTGCACGGAATGCACGACAAAGTTCCTCTCCGTAGGGGCTAAGCGACGAGATCTGCTAGTTATGGCAGTTTCTAACACTATGATGTAACTGTCAGTATCACTCTATCATCATTTCAGCATTCATATGCCTGATTCTTAACTGACGCGTGGTTACGCACCCGCGTCAGTTAAGTCATCTACCTCGGGTGCGAGCGACCTCCCCAAGTGTTAACCTTGGGTTAGCACCGGATATGATACCTTGGGGCTTATCGGATATCCTGACCTACATTTGATACTGACATATAAGGTGTGCAGACGTTGATGATTTTATGAGTATGATTGTAGATAGAATCTCTGGAGTTCCCTGATGGTTAACGACAATGTCAGTGTGGGGTGACCATGATCATTGAAAATCCAATGTTGTTGTTGGCAGTAGCTGTTGGTGTTAGTCAGAGAGGATCAATAGCGAGTCTCGGGTGGTATCTTATGTTCATCTTGGTAAGATTCAAACCATGTCCGCAAACGGCATGGTATCCTTACCCGTCTATGTAGCCGATGCATTCGTTTCAAGTGGCAGTAACAACAACTTCACTGGCAATCCCGCAGGAGTTGTGGTACTCCCACCGGGCCTATCGCTAAGGGAAGAGGTAGCAATGAGCCGTGAGTAGTCTTGTACATAGGAAATCGGCTAGGAATGTATAGAAACCAATGAGAACTCCTCAAAATGTTTATAATGTCACCGACACATGTAGTTGCGTATTTTCCCACACTGGCCGTGCCAGGCGTACCGAGCCATAGCTGCCGAATTACGGCACTCTGAGACTGCTTTCCTCAGCCCTATATCTACGGGAAGATATGCACTTAGATGGTTCACCCCGACGTAGGACCAACACTGGTGGAATGTTCGTACTATATAACACTGTTAGGAATGAAGTCCCCCTGTGCGGCCACGCTACTCTAGCAGGGGCTCGCTGCTCGGATGTAACTCACCTTTCTCTCGATCGCCATGCATGGTCATTGTAGGACTTGAACGCCTCCACTGGGGAGGACACGCCCGAGAGGTACGTGTTTGAGACGGCTTCAGGAGAACTGGTGAGGGGGCAACTGCTATGACAGTTTGGGGTGGTGACACTGTTAGGTGGTGACACGCGACTCCAGAGTTGATGCACAGGGCTTGTATTGGCTTGAATTCCCAAGGAACCCTCCGGAAGACACCTGGCAGCCCGACAGCTCCCCACGATGGGCCTATGATATCATTTCGGCTCTAGGCTTGCCGATGGACCAGGTTGCTATCTCGAGAGTAGTATGGTGCTGTTGTTGTTATTGTTGATAATAGGTAACGGAGGTTGCTGTGTCGTACAAGGCGAAGAAGCTGTTGGTGATCTGTCGAGGCATAGAAGGAATCAAGACGCTTCAACCGGTAGTTCTCACGAGGCTGAGGCGGCTCGAGCTTGTGCATCAGGATGAGAGGACGCTATATAATTCACATAGGGAGGATATTATACGAGGAGTTAGCGTTATGTGCTACCTCGAACAGCGACAGGAGATGACTACATTAGTGTACTCGAGGTGAGTAAAGGGATTATATTATATTTTGAACATACCAACACTGTATGGTCATGGTATGGCCCCATTTACTGTATATGGGAGATGGGATGGGAGATATAATATGTTAGGATGGTCTTTATAGTAATAGGAATATTAGGATGGTCTTTATAGTAATAGGAATATTAGGATGGTCTTTATAGTAATAGGAATATTAGGATGGTCTTTGTAGTAATAGGAATATTAAGATGGTCTTTATAGTAATAGGAATATTAAGATGGTCTTTATAGTAATAGGAATATTAGGATGGTCTTTATAGTAATAGGAATATTAGGATGGTCTTTGTAGTAATAGGAATATTAAGATGGTCTTTATAGTAATAGGAATATTAGGATGGTCTTTATAGTAATAGGAATATTAAGATGGTCTTTATAGTAATAGGAATATTAGGATGGTCTTTATAGTAATAGGAATATTAAGATGGTCTTTATAGTAATAGGAATATTAGGATGGTCTCTATAGTAATAGGAATATTAGGATGATCTCTATAGTAATAGGAATATCATTGTTATCATAACAACGTCGTTAAAGGAGTACCGACTTTGCATTTTTAAAGTTAGGTATTTTGCACCATGGAATGGCATTCCTGAAGACCCAGTCAACGGCAGCAGTCACACTGTCATTGCCCCTTACATCAGTTCAGTCATCGGCACTAAGGGGTAGGACGGCAACACAGTTGGGTACTTTCCTCTCCTCGTCTTTAGGTGCTTATTGGAATGCACAATGTTGTCATCGAGGGGAGGCCAGCTGATAGTCCGGGACACTCTAGATGTGGTGAATATAGCAGGCCGGTGCTCTGTGGTAGGACAGGGGTGCGAATTTCGAGGGGATTGAAGTTTGATATGATTTTAGCAAGATGATGATGATAATAATATGAAGTGGCAGCCTACCGCGCGCCCAGAGCGTGACAGTGAAATATGAAATATTGTCGATTTATTTTAACTATCGTCGCCTATCTCAAGAGCCACTGATAAACTCCCACTATGCTTCGCATAACGATAGGTTGGTTCGCACTTTATATTTCTGGTCGGGAAATTGTAATCATCCTATACACTCCTAAACCCGGCTTCCAAGTGTTGGCTCCCGGTTGTAGGTGATCAGTGGAAAGATCCACCTGCCTCAGCATTTCTTTAAGGAGTGATTATGTGCTCGGCCACATGTGTATTACGTTTCCTTATCCTGATTGCTATGAGTTAATCGTCTCAGCCATTTCACCTCATACAGTAACAGAGTGTAGATCACTTGTTGTAGTAGCACTTCGGGTGATCCACTAAGGCGAGGTGAGCTGATGAGTATACAGGAAAGTTGGGTATCGTAACGAGGGTCATTCATGGAATTGAAATGAGATTACGACTACAGGTGAGTCATGAAAAGTGACATGACTCTGGACCCAACGAGGGGGTGGCAGCGATTTCACGTCACTCCATGACAGCGACGTGTGCTTATAACAACGGCAGACGCTACACATCAACTATCGAGTTGTCGCGGTGGTTGCCGTCCTCCTCTTCCTCGTCCCCTCTTTAGTTTGGTATACGATACTTCCATGGTATCACAGCATTTGATCGTGAGTAGGTAACCTACTGCGTATCGGAATAACACCTGCTGTAGTGAGGTCTATGAAGGCAACTCATATCACGCTACTACTTCGACAAGGTGCCTATTGCAGGATGTCATGTTGGCATCCGGGTAGTGGATCTCACTTTTACTGATAACAGCAATGGACCTGCCGTACACAAGCACATAGCTACTCAACACTTTAAAGAGTGTTCGGAAGACGGGTCGACCCGGAGTGTATTCCGCATTGTAACAAAGGTTGTGTTTTTTTATCTCATTAGGGAGTATCACGGTCCTTTACAGTTGATTTATTATCTGTATAGTGAAAAGTAAATTATGAATTCATGTAAACAATCACTTTGTACCACACCTCTCGCAACTCTATCGCCAAACGTCAAGACGGATCTATCGAATTGGGAGACGACAGAACTCCATAACCGGCTGAGTGCCGCACACGAAGAAATACAACGGACCATTCTGGGAGATCATCCCATCTCGGGTAAGATTGTGTAACACAAGGCACATGAAAAAAGGCCCTCAAGTGGCGGTATAAAAATTGTGAGAAAATTTTGGGAAATTCTCGTTGATTCTTGTACATTTTTATCTGAGTTTGTACGTAAAATCGTAAAAATAGTGAGGAAATTCCTGAGCTCAGCTGAGGAAACGAAACGTAGATTCCTCCCACACTGCCCCAGATGCGGCCAATTCCGATCCTGGTACCGCACAGAAATCGTTAATGAGCGAGAATAAAGAAGTAATGTGTATGTTCATACAGTAGAGCTCATGCGTCCCTATTACAGGCGCTGATTCCCCCGCCCGACTCGGGTGGATACGTAGTTGGTGAGATTTCGAAAGAGGAGCGGTATAGGAGGATGCAACAAGCGGCTAAACAGAGAGTGATGACTCAATGTCGGCAGAAAGGACGAGGAGGAGGAGGAGGGGCCTTATCGATCTCAGTAGAGCATCATGAGGAGGATGGGCATGCAGAGCCCTTCGTATTAGGTCCGACGTGTTACACGAGATTGCTCAAATGGTACACCCAGGAAGCCAGTTTTGAGCGCCACGAATAAGACGCTCTCAATCGACAGACCGATTCTTGGGCTACAGAGTGGCAACAACAACAACACTATCATTGGTGGTGTGGGTACTCCAGGGTTGCGGCGAGGCCCATTCGGTCGGGAGGGGAGGGCGATGTCGGAACCAAGACCATTGAAATATGTGGAGATACACTCCGTAAAGGTGGGGAAAGATTTCCCTACTGAGGAGCGGGTGAGTACTGATGACCATAAAAGAGATGATGACTTTATTCACTATAACACTGTTGTGGAGGAGGAGGAGCGGCGTACGAGCTTGAGCGGCCGACATGGGGAGTACGAGAGAAATGAAGCGCCAATAAGTTTCAAAGTGGCCAGTGTTGGCGTACCACAAGACGCCCGAGTGAAACCTATCGCGAGGAGGCTCAGCTTGGGAAAGGACTCAGACAATGTTGAGAGGGAACAACAAGGAGGTATTTGAGTTCGCGTGTCGAAGTTCCTCATTAGTTTTCTCAGCTGCCCGTAGTGTTGAGGATCGCAACAAGTCTACGGCTAAGAAGGCGACTCCTTATTCCAATGGTTCGTATTCGGAGATATACTCCCAAAGGTGGGAGTTTCGAAGTCACCGGAGACACTATGTGCGTGCGTGCGCAATTTTACAGTTTGATCGGTCCGGGGATCATGCGAAAAATACAAAGACTGATTTTGCAGGTGGATCAGTGAATTCGTGTTGAAATATTTTTCGGCAGAGAAATGACGTGTATGGGAATCGAACCTGCGGCCTCTTCAACCGGGCAAAACAAAGCTTCCACTACGAACTCACTCATTGCAGGCGAGAAAATACGAGAGCTCTCGCGACGCCGGTACGTGCCAAGGGTAGAGGTGGCCGTGGGGCTTCGACACCGCATACAGCTCCTCAATGCGGGGATATCTACACTAGAGCTCGGGAGCGCCGTAGGGTTTTTGAAAACAAGATCATCGAGGCCAGGTCGTGGAAGATAGCGGAGGAAATGAAGGAGGTGAATTCAAACGAGTTGGGGTGGGCAGTTGGAAATCCACCCTTCATGAGGAATCGAAAATGTTAGAAAAAATGGTGAAGAACTGCGCTCTAATATAATACCTATTAAGTAACGGTTCACGTCTCTTAAATTGAGAATCAAATTCAAAAAAAATAGAGAATTTCAGCAGTTCTTTGTTAGTGTACTTTTTCGCCACGAGTAATTTCCCGAAGAGCTCCTCCTCTTCCTCCTACGAGATCTGCAAGTGTACCTCGTAATGTTGACAGCGTGTATCGGCGAACACGTGCATGGAAGGATGTGAAAGAGAAAGATCTCGAGTCGAATCGTCAGCGCAGGGAGGAAGCCAAAGTAGGCCAGAGTGAATCCTATGTGCATGCGTGCATGACGATTCAGGATTTCGATGACCGGCAACATCTGGTGCATAGATCAGTTCATTCGAGGGTGATAGGAATGCCCTATTCTAGTGTTGAGGCCAGCAGGTTTTATGAGAGGAATGTGGAGTGGAAACGAGCAGTTGATCGACGATCCGAGAAGCTACGACACCAACAACAACAGCATCAGGTTGCAGTTCCCTAGTTATCTCGAGGTGTGGTACGTGTGCGCTTTAGACTTCCAATAGAGGGCGTTCCAAATTGCGAGACTACGTCGGCTCACTTCATGAAAGCGTGTCGGCTTATAACGGCCCAACAACACCACGCACGCCCGAGACCCCAAGGGGTGTCAACATGTAAGGAAGCTCTGAGTAAAAGACTTCAGTTAGTCTTTGCAGTTAAGACACCGTTGACGCCGTATCGAGCTGCTGGTCCTCCCGCGTCG